AGTCGTAAATGAAACCTGATAACCCAGCGGCGCGCGAGACATATAGATGTTGCTCGGTCTCAAATTACGCAGCTACAATTATACGTGTAAGTCGTTAATTAATTTCTTAATTTCATATTTTGGCAAACAAAAATTTTCTGCAAAATCCAAGTAAAAAATATTCTCCTGAAACTTTATATGACTGAAAATTCGTCGCACAGACAATTTAAAAATCGTCCATTCATTTCTTTATAATTAATTCTAATTAATACGTCTGCTTTATAATTTGTATCATACGTGTACGACTGCAACGGTTTCCGCTGTTCTAAAGTAAGGTTGATTTCTTTTCATTGCAGTATCCTTTCCAAATTATTATTTTTTTATACGGGTGATGAAGTTTTCAGCCGTCTAAAGTTACAATTTAAAGGCCATTACCAAAAATCAAGGTTACATGCTTTATGCAAAATACCGCAAAATCACGTTCACGAAAATAGGCTTCCTGTAAAAAGAGTTTCTTGTACCAATCAATACTTTTTTTATTTTGACTTAGAAGGGTATAGACTATTGTAAAATGGAATTATTTATCAAATAAACAACCGCACTTTCAAGAAAATGGGCTTAGAAAATCGCCGAAATTCGCTGTCCTGTAACAGTCACGCAACATACCCGGGTTAAAACCCTTGGGCAAAATTACCGTTACACTAAAAATTTGATTTTATGCATCCAAAACGTTTATTTTAAGGTACTTTAGCTTCAGAAAAAAATCTGTGCACTAATTCCTTAAGGAAAAATTGTTTTAGACCCGAGAAATTTCCATTGTTTTTGGTGGTTTTTAGGGCTTCCCTTGGCCAAAAACTGGGGGGGTGGTCAATCTCGGGGGGGAAAAGCCGGAAAATCTTGTTAATGTCACCAAAGTTAATCTTATCAGCTTGGTTTTAAATGCTGAAAAAATAAAGGAAATGGGCTGACCCCAATCTTTTGGCACCGCCCGGTTTTCTCTGACAATGGCTCTTAAAAGTATGCAATTTCAAAATATTCGGATTCGTGCGAACGGGGCCTAAACCTAATACTTCTTTGCCGTTCTCGTTGCCGTCGTCGTTGCTTAAGCTCCTTTTTGTTAGTTAAACGAGATGTAAGAACCAGGGTTGCACCTCATCTCCCACCTCACCTCCTTGAGAGAATGCTACGAACCTGCAAATTGTTTGTCTGAAAATCCACCAAACACGTAGCGTCCAACTTGCAGTATTGTTAGTGTTGGCGCCAAATCATTGAGGTTACAATTCTGACGGAATTTTTCCATTCCAAACCCATGGTCGGTTGCTCTGTAGCAGATGTGCCACCGTATGTTTATTGGCATGAAGGGTTTAAGCCAGTTTCTTAGGGCATCTTGATACACGTCGTTCAGACCCAAAATTTCAGAAACGAAATACACTGAAATATTCCAAAAAATAGGGCAAAATTATAGGGATTAATATATATATTTAGCCAAGGCGAGTGGCAAGTAACTTGTCAGCGACTAACTTCAAAAAACACGTAACCTCGATGGTCTGCAATACGGTCATTTGATACTGGTCAGCGGATACCCTGAATTGACAACTGCCAATTGATCACAACATGGATGTGCAATATCAGGTTGCAAGCTCCTAATCTAGCCAGAAAGTGGGGGAGAACTTCACTACGGTACAAAATTTCGCAACGGTATTGTAAACGCGAAAGGACCACTCGTTTCGGTGTAAAATCGGTCTACCGGTAGACTGGAACGGGTAGCGCATGCGTACTGTTTGCGATTTTAAATAGCATTTTATATTGTGGACATGAAATGTACCTTCATATAAACGTGGTATGAAATGACCATGTCTTCATGTAAACGCGATGCGAAAAAAGGAAGTCATCCCGGTATGAAACTCGCGTAGGTGCGAGTTTTCACTTGTAAACACCCCCTTACTTATTAACTAGAAATGAATTATCGCAAAATCCGCGCGAAGCTTTAAAGGATCAGCAGTGAGAACAGAATAAAGGGAATCATGGAAAAGGAAAAATGATAAAAAAAGGGAAAAATGTACAAATTTTTATGGTATGGCTTCGCCGGGATTCGAACTCGCTTCCCCGAGTTTTCTATAAGTGAAAATTGACCCTTGACCAATGCCCCACGCACCCTATGTCACAACTGGATGGCGTCAACTGCAGACAACCAAGAGATCTATAGATATACGCGCAACTCGAGTTTCTGCTTTGCTGTGCGATCAAGGCGCGACAAATTTATAAACCTCGCTTCGATCGGAATAAGATTGATAAGATTGCGGTGTTTAATGTACCTCTGTAGCTCATCCAAAAGCCGATTGAGAGGCCATTCCCACAAAAGTCCATCTTGCCCAAGCATTCTCCTTGAAAAGATCCCAGGCTAACATAGGAATATGCGCCTCTGCTGATGACATTAAGTCTCGTGTCAAAGAATGTTGTGGGGCCTTGTATAAATGCACTCGTCCTTGAAGTCAATATTTCAGGGAGATCAAGGTGGTTTTTCCGGTTTAGCGGCCAATTATAAGTCGCTAAAAAAAGAAGAAGACGTCATAAAAAGAATCATTCTAGTTTGTAAATCTCTTCACAAAACTTGAAAGTTGCAAAGTGTATACGAATGCAAATTCAACCCTCTTAACATCACCATGCAGTCGTATTTGAGCCTCTGGCCAAGCAATCAAGGAGCCTAACTGAATACTACAGCTTGTGTACAGATCATGTATCGTTTCGTCAGTCAGCTTATAATCCCACATGTTGAATTCCATAATATCTGCCCTTAAACTTTCCGCTTTCTCTACCGCTCCGGAGCTGTTCTGAGATTGGCCGAGGACCAGATGGCCTCCTGGGTAAGGAATGGCACGCGGCGGACCAAAAACGTTGAAGCCAGGTTTGTTGTTTACAAGGAAAGACCAGTTACCCGATATAACGTCCCATTTCAACACCAAATGATGCCAGTCGTTACCACTAAAGCTCTGGCTTGAGTCATGATAACTGTTGGGAGTGACCAATCAAACCATTGAGAAATAAATGAAATCCTTGTCAAAGGTTTGATCCCGCGCAAGAAAGCAAATAACTGAAAGGCTACTTAAGAAACCTTATCTGGATAATTTTCTTCCCTACACTACTGAGTAGAAACATTTTCAGTTTCTTTGCCCTACTTACACGAATGGACAATACCTTGGAAAAATTTTTGTTTACTCTGATTTTTTTGTTTCTCCTCTTAAATGATGTATGGCACCAGCAAATACTTGTACATATTTAAGGATTCATACTGTATAGTAAGGTCGTTCCATTTAAACTACAACTGTACAAAATTAGATTTTCTGGAAATTATCTGAGGCAAAACATCTGTTATTTAGTTTGTTTTCTTCTCTAGTATGGAAATGAGAAGCTTGAGAGTGTCACTTTTTAACACGAATTTCATTGCATGCATCTCTATCAGTGGCCGGAGTAAGTGACTCATTTCTAGCAGTTTACTCACCTCACGTTAGTATCTAAAGTTATTCTGCAATGTCTATTCCCCATCGTAGAAAACTCAAGGTATTTGGCTTGTGGTAAGTTAAGCAGCGAAAATATCGCTGACCATCTTTCAGCCATCAGACCTCTCATCCACCATGAAACGGTGAAGGTGTTAAATTCCAAGATGATTGGAACAGAAGCGAATCCCTGAGATAATGTTCCAGAAAAACTTAGGTAGTAATCCCACGGTCGTTCTGTAACATCAGGAAAATCAGTTATTAAAAAGGTTCTTGAGTGGACAGATAATGATGATAACAAAAACTTACGAGTTTCCTTCTCAGTATTTCAGCTTATTTCGGAAAGCTTCCTAGTTTCAACGGCTTTCGGCAGTTTTTCCACCGTTTGTCGGCCATTTTTTTAAGCGGGCGCGGGAACGTGAAGTACAATTACGTCACGTCGTTTACGAAGTTTGATTGGTCAGTTATCTTTTCTTCTCGTTCCAGATATGGTACTTTCGAAAACGAATAATCACGAGCACCGGACAAAGAAAACATATGAGAGTTACACGTTTCAACCTCTTATGAGTTTCTGGTGATAATCATTAAACAAAATTTCTATTAGAATTACTAGTTTTCAAACATCGACTGCGCATCACTATTTCTATACGCTTTACTAACCTCTACGCGTCCGTAACTTCATTGCAGATTGTTTCAGCTGATAATTCGCACCTCTCCAGTCCTCCCATACTATTCCATTCGGAGAAGTGGTATATATACCATTCAGTAAAGCGCGAACGCAGTCCTGTAAATACCACCACCCTCCGCCATACGTGGAAGCACAATCCAAACTACTGCTTCCATCATTATCCCGGTCAATAGTGCTAAACCTTTTGCCATTGTGCTCGGAAAGTGCATCTCCAGCTGTACCAGAGTATGTAGAAACTTCAAGTTCGTACTTTTCGCTCTCGGATAAAAGAGCGAAATGGTTGTACAACGCATGCGCTTTCTCGCCTGCATTGTCCTCAAGCTCTACCATAAGTTGTTGCCTCATCGAAGATAGTAGATGCAACTTCTCATTACCTAGCCAGAAGTCACTAGATAAGTTGCCAAATCCTTCCCTGTACTGATCCCAGTTTTTGTCTTCGAAGGCGTGAGTTCCATTAATGTGCCTTTGAAAGACAACCCAGCCGCCACCACCTGTCTCCTGATCGCAAAAGACTTGAAAGTCTCCAGTACCATCGGGGTCAATTTGATAAATACCGGAAGTGTTGAAGCCATGGTACAACAGATCAAGACAATCCCGCCCTGTTAGTAACGAGTAATGACATTTAACACTGATAGTGGCAGGTAAATGTACGTAAAAAGGGGCTAGATGTTACCTCCTCCAAAAGATTTTTCTACTATTTATTGAACGCGATTTTAGAACAAGACTTCATCTGAAACATATGTTTATTTGTTTCTTAGACACGTTTCCCCCTTCTCCATCAGTGCTCCGTTTTACGGGTATTTAAAGCGACTTAAAGCTACACGGAAAGGAAAGTAGCCTGCGAACAGCAGACGTATTTCCGGTCGTCGACCGGAAATAAGTCTGCTGTTCGCAGGTTAAAAGGAAAGAAGATGTACGAAGCATTTGTGGTCACACCTGGGAATCGAACTCGGGACCTCCAGCGCACAAAAGACCGCGTACTGACCAACCGCGCTAATCCTTCCTCCTAAATTCTTGGTCAGCGGATTCCAACCGTTAGCGGGATTCCGGATTCCATAAAGCCCACAATTCCTGATTTTCCAAGAAAAATGTTCCCGGATTTTGGACTCCACCAGCAAAAAATTTCCCCGATTCCGGAATCTGGGTTACCTTACAACAGCGCCAAAACAACCTTAAGTTTGACCCGGGGCGGGGGGGGGGTACTTCTTAGTAATAGGCTGATTTAGCAACAGGACGGGAACGTCAGTTGACGACGGGAAAGCGCGCGGAAAGGACTAAACACGACTTCCGGTGCCCAATTTGCCGCTCTACCATTGGTCAAGCCAGTTGTTTAATTTGCGCGCGCTGTCGTCAACTGACGTTCCCGTTCTGTTGCTAAATCAGCCTAACAGGCTAATGGGAATGTGCAGCTGGATGGGGTCGCATTTTCACGGCTGGATTGACTATAATGGGGTTGCATTTTCATTAGAGTTACTAGAATGGGATCGCACATTTTCGGGAATTAGGGGATCAGAAAATTCTGGTAGGTAGGGATTGAAAAATGGGAAGATTTTTACTTCATTAAGGTTAACCAACGTGTTAATTCATTTCAAGATGACCCTGTTAAGAGGCTTTATAACATAGATGCGTAAACAGAAAGTTACATTTTCCTAAAAAAGCGACTAGGATGGGGTCCATCGTTTGACCACAGAATAGACTGTAATGGGGTAGGGGTTCTGAGAGGCCGGCGGCATATAACCAGCAGGAATTAACCCAAGTAACCCCCACCCCACCCCACCCCACCCCCAGGGAACTTGGACTACTTTGCTTGGCTTTTGGGGTCGTTTGACCGCGATGAATTCCAGCACTCACCTATAAAACCTGAGCTTCCCTCCCCTCGTGCATCAAAGGTAGCAGAAAAAAGGACCAGGTATACCTAATTAAAACAGATTGAAGGAAAAATAGACATTCACGTGATTTGCTGCTTAAATCAAACATTCACATAATTAATGCCACCTATTCAGTTATCTTATGCAGATGTTTCCGTCATATTCCTCGCGCTGAGCTTGAAATGACACCCCCCGCCCAGAAACTATTTCATTTTGCTCGTAAGATAAAAAATAGTGCGTTCAATGTGGTGATTGATAGTAAAAAAATTGTTTTGACTTCATTTTTATATTCATTATAATATCTTTTCTCGTACCAATTTATAAATTTTAAAAATCAAGGCAAGATTGTATTACCCCAAAAAGTCTAAAACAAAATTTTCTTTTGTTTAATTATATATGGTATTTCATAAAATGCTGTCTATTTATAGGAAAACGAGAACAAAACAATGTAGTAAAATGAAAAGTAGTGATTAATTAGGAATTCGTGAGAATCTTAAAATGTAAGAGCCAGTTTCTGTCTAAGCTTAGGCTTTTCTAAGGTTCCCATGCTTTTTAGAATACACTAATATCCAGAGAGTTTATATCATTCAAGTTTAGATCCACGGAGTATAATAACATGTATAAATAATAAATTTAAATTCTCATGGCAAAAAAGAAAAAACATATGATATTGGTGCAGTAATAAGTTAAAATTAATGTAATTTAGCCTTCTTTTTGCCGAGACTTCAGTGGAATTAAGATTTAAGGCACTGGTTAATAGTTTGTTTATTCGAAAAAATGAAGTGATGGTTGATAAAACATTCGCAAAAGATTATCAAAAATAGTCAATCTACGCTGCGCAGGGCGTTCAATTGTTTTTTTCCGAGCTTAGATATAAACAGTTCCTAATAAATTAAAGCGGTAACGTTAGGTGAGAATACACAATTAAAACGGTTCTCCTAAAAAATTTAATCGGTTTACGAATTCAAATGGAACATGGGTTATTAAAGCTACAGAAAACTAGAAAAAAGTTTTTCCTATTTTTTTGTTTTGAAATTTCGATTGTGGAAAAATATTAGAAATTTGCAGTTTTCCCCTAATTGTCCGCAATTTTGCAATGTAATTTCTAAAAATTAACGCTTAAGACCTTGGATATACTTCCAGTAGTTTTCATTTGAAAAGTTTTGTCCTTTTTTGTTTCAGCCATAAAACCGAGTCAAAATGACCCTAAAGGCATGACAGTAACGCAGAAAGCCTTTCATTGGTATTATCACTCGAGGATTGTTGAACAAAACGTAGAACGCTTGGAGTAAAATGTTCGTTACCGTCTGATAAGTACCTTTTTGATCGCTTAGTAGTCTTTTTTATCTGCTTACTCATCAACCTTTTTCATCGCGTAAAAAAATAATTACGAAAAACATAAGGATGCCGTACGTACAAAACATAATCTAAACCATATAACAAAAAAATGAACTTACCAAACATCCCCTGCTTGATCTAAAAGTCATTTCTGAGTTCAGTCAGCGTCAATAAAAGAAATTGCTTTGATATCATTCTCAATAAAGAAATAAAAATTCTTATTTTCCTGCTGAAATGTGTTTCGTGATTGTACAGCTAAGAGAGGGGGAGTAAAATAAAACATGCTGCGCGGAAAATTTGTTTTGTTGTACACACTTCGAGAAGTTAACTTAATTCGCCTAGCACGTGTTTAAAGTTTTATGACCTGAATAACATGAAATGTCAAAATGTTATCTTGGTCACCGAGAAAGAAAAAACACACTAATTCTTTCTTCAAACTTTACGGATTTATTTTAAGACACTTACGATTTCCTATTGGCATTTTAATTATTATTAGCGAAGCTCCACTCGAGCAGAGCACAAGAAAATTTGGTTATCTATCCATCTGTGAAATTTTGGTAGTCAAGTGACCGTACGTCCGTCCGCACCACAGGGTAACCAATGTGTAATCTCACTCTTTCAAGCTAATTTGCTTATGTGGAGCCTGTAGCCTCCCAAGCAGACGTTCGTAGGCGTTCGTCACGCGTTCCTGCCCCACGAATGTCTTCTGCAACGAGCAGTTAAATTCCTTTCTCATTGTGAGAAGAACAAATCGGCACTGTTGAACTCAAAGTGCTGACAAGCCAGACATGACGTACAAACTCGGTAGAGAGCTATAATTGACCAAAGCGTGTTGCTTCGAACAAGAGCGTAGAAGATAAGAATTGTTTTTTGTATATTTCTCTCCGTTAAGGCTTGATTAGATGCCCTTTACTAACATACTTAAAGGTTTTCTTTTGGTGAGGCAACGGTGGGATGGTACATTGTAACTGAACAAAAAGTAGAATTTTTTTCGCAGTTCATTGTTTTTGTAGTAAAGCTGACTTCCGTTCAGCAAATTTAACTTCCGACTTAATTTTGTCAATGGGATTGCGAGGGTAGCCTCCAGTACGAAAGGCGTGTGAGTTAACTGGGTAGTTTGTCCCAAAAGTGGAAGGTCTTCACCTTTAATGAGACCTTTCTGATCTTTTCTGGAGTCTCGCGCGAAATTTCTCAGGTCCAAAGTGCACTTTCTGCAAGTGTGCTGTGCTTGGTCTACGTTTTTTCCCACTCGTTTCAGCAGACGTTTGTTGGGGAGGATTGCGTGACGAGCCAGTGATCAATTGACAGCTGTTAAAACTCACATGACATCACATGACCGTATTGCGGGCTCAGGTGTGAGCCATGGACGAAACCTGTGTATTTGAAGTTATCCGCTGACAAGTTACTTGTTTTTCAATTTATTTACGGGAGCTTCGCCTTGTCTAAATCTTTATATTATTACTAGCAGTGAGTGCGTTCGAGTGCTTTACCATCAAGCATTATTTCAAAATACGTGTGGGGTAAAGATGAAAAAAACATTTTTTAAAAAAAATAAATAAATATATTTTCTAGACGTATAGTCGTTTAATTGAGAAATTTTCGGATCAATTTAGGTTTCGGGGAAACTGCCCACCTACCCCTCCCCTAAGCTGAAATTAACACTTACTTCTTCCTTACGGCAAAATGATTGCTTAGGGGAGTGGTGGGTTGGCAGTTTCCCAGAAACCTAAATTTTCTTGTGCCTAGGTACACAGCGATTCTACAAATTTAGCAGGAATGTAATATCAAGTGTAGGGTATCACTGCGTATACACCGCTCTTGATATTGCCTCTGTTAAAAGCCATTTTTGTCATAAAACGCGACGCGATCAAAAGTGCAATTGAGGTTGCATTACGCCTCCCACGCAGGTTACACGTTTTAAGGGGCTGTTTACATGATACCCGAATGACTTTCATTCCGGAACGAGTTTTGTTCCAGAGTTAAGTTCGTACTGCATACACATGATAAAATCAACCAGCCTACTCCAAGGCGTTCTCTCTCGCGCCAGATCTGATACGCATGCGCCACTTTTCCCAGACTAAACGGTCTGCAATTTTCAATTTGGAAAAACGTTCATTTTCATGATACCGGGATGAAACGAGAATTTCAATCGGAACAAAAAGCCGGAATGACTTGAAGGGAGGGTAATGTCGTTTCGGTATTATTATTCGGTTAACAAATACAGAGAAATATGCGGAAATGAAATGAAATCGTTCCAGAATGAAAGTACTTCCGGCATCATGTGACAGTAGCCCCTACGATGATGGCCCTTTTGTATGACGTCACTTGACGTCACGTGGCCTCAGAAAAATGATTTAGCTATAATCTCCGCCGTATACATATATTTTTGCTTGTGGTGTTGTTCTGTTTATATCTTAATTTTTCCTCATGAAGAGAATTTTACCTACTATCCCGCTGTTTTTTATTGGATATAGTGAAAGTGCAAGTGTTGGAGAGCTCTTTATCTAAGTGTAATTAACTCTTTATTCATTATGTTTCTCACCCTGTCAATCCCTATGAAACCTTTCCTTGAATAACTGATGTTAGATCATGTCAGAGGAGTATTGAAAACACCAGCTGTTTCTGAAAAAGATAAACACAAAAGTAAAATATGCATTATTATCAGTGTGTTTCAATTTACACCGCCGACCATGTACTGATATTTTATAAAGAGTTTACTGTTTGAAAAATCTGAATAACAAAAGTGAATTTGTTTGATTTTAATAGTACATGGATGATACAGTTTGTACTACCTTACAATATAGGGTACACAGTTAATGTCAACGTCAAGGAAAGTTTTCTTTATCTAAGAATCATGTTTAACGGCTCTTCAACGACTAGGCTCAATACATCAACTCCACATTTGGACGTTTGTAGTTTTTATCGCAATGTCCGTGATGGGGACGTCGCTCCGCAAGATATCCTAGTTTTGGTAGGCGCCATCAACGCCCTTCTATCCGTTGTAGCTGTTACGGGAAACACGTTAATTTTAGCGGCAATATGGAAGAACTCATCGCTTCGAAGTCCTTCATATATTCTATTAGCTGGGCTCGCAGCCACTGACTTTGCTACTGGTCTGATCACGCAGCCGTTATACGTTGCTTACATTTTTGCGGGACATAATTGCACGGTAGTCGCAGCCGCCGATGTTGCCAGTCGCTATTTTGCCACTGTAACGGCGGAGACGATCACGATGATGTCTGTAGAAAGATGGTTGCACATGAGTCGTCGATCGTTGATAACTGTAAGGCGCACCTATGTAATTTACGGAATACTCCTATTCCTTCCAGTAGCCTACTTGCCTCTTCACCTGTGGTTACTCTCGATGCAGTCGTACGAAGATTTCTGGGAACCTCTTCTCCACGCGGTTTTAAGTGTTATTTGCTTTTCGACAACATCGTTGTCCTATTATAAAGTATTTAGAATAATTCGAAATCAACTAAGACGCGTTCGAGCGGGCCAGACAAGCCAAAGCTCTCCGATGGCCTCTACTAAATACAAGAAATCAGTTTACACAATTCTTATCATATTATTAGTTTTCTTGCTTTGCTATTCGCCGCATGGAATTGTTATTTTTGCCCACTCTTTGTGGACAATGTCAGCAGTGACCTTTAATGTGGTTTGGCATTTTACAGCTAGTCTCGTTTTGATATCTTCGTCAATAAATCCTCTTCTTTACCATTGGAGAATAAGAGAAATTCGACTTGGAGTTAAACGATTAATGAGAGGAATTATTTGCTAACGGTTTAAATGAAATTGTATAAAAGATCTCTCTCTTTTCTATTTTTTTTTCCAAAAAAGCGGTGGTAAATGATCGTACCGTCGACCTCAAGATTATCTGAATAACAATCATGAGTTATCGACGTGAAGTATGGTTCAGTAAAAAAAAAAAGAGCTCTGACTGCGCAAAGAACAATAAATTGATAATAGTAAAATGACCTTTTACCTGTACGAATTAATGTTGTGAAATGCAGAGAAAATGTATTTTGAGCTAAAGTAACTTAAGAATATTGCTAAAGTTTTAATTACTGAAACGACCAGTTGATGTGAAGTTGTAAATTTAATTTTAGGAAGCTCGTAGTAGACTAGAAATCAGCTTGAATATAAAGAAAGGCAGCTTTAACCTGATTGATCGCATGTAAGGATTTATTCTATACATTATTATGATGATGATGATTATTATTATTAAGTAAATTGACTGTCTTGTTCACGAAATGTTGCACATCAAACAATTAAGACTGCGCTTGAACATGCAGACGAATTCTATCAGTGCCAAAGTCTTTGTCTAGATTTACTTCATTTATAACAAAAATAGGCATATTTAGAAAACTTTAACTGCACTCGTATTCATTTATTTCCGATTCCTTGATAATGGCATCATGAGGTCGTCGAGACGTCAGAACATTTATCTCGTTAGTTCTTACTTGTTTATAATTTTCTAAATCATTATTAATAATAATTAACTTTCAGATTTTAAAAAGAAACAAATTTAGCTGATTTAAGTAACAAATTTAGCTGATTTACCAAGGTATATTTACAAGTACTAAGCAAACAACAGGAGAAGCGAAAATTGTTTCTTCGTATCCACGAAAAAGAAGACTGAGAATAAAACTGACTTCAAGTCTGGAATTGATTGAAATTACTTGAGATATTAATAATTGTAGTCTAGAACTAGGCTATTCAAGTTTGAAAATCCTAAATATAACACTCACCATGCCATCGAGTTAGATTTCATGGGATAATGAATTTTTCATGATTCAATGGGATAATTAGTTAGAAATGGTGTTTTTACAGCCGCCGTTCTGAGACAACAATCAGTTTAACGTGTTTTTACTCCTAGGGTAACTTATTATCAAACTCAAACATTTCTTCACGACTCATGATAAATTACTTCATTCATAAATAATATAAAGCATATTACAAGAACACGCGGGGATACGAAATTTCTCTTCGAGTGTTGATTATGAGTAAATAAGTAGGCGAAAAGAGGGGAGAAAAGGCAAACTAGGCCGATTTAGCGCTTCTTTGCAGCTAAAATTTGTGGTACAATGAAGGTCCGTACTACTCGAAGATTCGATGAAAATGATTCGAACGAAGCTTAATTTGATAATTCGCCCCATGATACCTTGTGGGCCGAGTGCAACCTCTTCTGAGTCATTCGAACAGTAGTTAGTGTTAGTGATGCACGCCATAGTAAGGCGGGTATACCCTTGATTTATTAACTTGGTTAAATGTTTGAAGAATTTTCGAAATGGAGTAAGAGTCGAGACAACAAAGCAAATCAAATGCGAAGGTAGTTTCAGATTGTCATCATCATCACCATCATCATCATCATCATCATCATCATCACCATCATCATCATCACCATCATCATCATTAATTATTTTTCAATTAGTTTTTTTTTAAAGGTGGTCCAATTTGTAAGCCTTATTGGCTTCCTTGAGCTCCCTTGCCTCATCTTTTTTCTTAATTTCATGTACATATTAACTTGTATCTGTGGCAAAATGATAATGAAACCATAAACAAATAATCATTATCATCATGACTCCACAATCCAAATATAGCGATGTCAACTTCAATACAGCCTCGTCCCCAGGGTCCTTTCCTATTCGTCCCTAGAGACGAGTAGAAAAGGACCCTGGGAACGAGCGTGATTTTCAATACAACTTAACGGTGGAAATAGGATAAAAACACTCTGCACTGTTTGAAACGTGTGTACCATACCGAATATCGAAAATGTTCCTTGAATTTAAGGTAGCAGGAATTATCATTAGGGCTTAGAAACTGTTTGCACACCTGGATTAATTAAAAAGCATATCTCCAATTATTATTGCTTTCTTAACAAGAGATAATGAAGTGTTGTATTCATTTTTCTCGCACAAGTGTTGGCAGCTAGGGTTGCGGCAACCTCACACGCTTTGGTGTTAAAACCATTAAGGAGACAAACATGTTTAACAGAAAACTTGCATTTCTGGCGTTTTTGTTGCACTCCTTTTCAGTTTCCTACTGTGAAGGTAAGTGTTTCTTATTAAGAATTTACCTTGACCTTTTATGATAGCCACATTACGCTTATCTAAGAAATAATTCTGTTGTATTGATCATGAATAAAAAATGACAGTAGCACTAGTTCGGGCTGTAATCGCACGGTGAAAACACGCAAATTACGGAGTCTAACTGTTGCTGAAGAGACCTTTTCGGCTTGTATGTTTTGATTCGGTATTTTTTTAGAAATTCATGATGTTCTCAAGTTCAGTGATGTCCAGCAATGTTCTCAAGGGAAATTCCCTTTTGTCATTTCATAAATCATGAAGCAGTATATTTTCTTACCATCTGCTTTTGTTCATCGGTCTCCTAATTCTTTTCTTTTTTTTTCTCCTTTTTTCGTTCATCTTCTTCCCTTCCTTCCCCGGGGGGTGGGGACGAAAAAAGAGGGCAAATGCCCCGTCTTCCGCCAACACGGCAACATTTTTCATTGATCTTACAGTCAAGTGAGTGCCATTATCACTCTTCTCTTGGCGATTCGTGGGAGCCACGCGCGATGCAAATTCGGACCGATTTATTAACCTCGCTTCGCGAGGAAATACTATGGTGTCGTGTGGAAAATCTCACAGGGGAAAATTCAATTCAAGTATTTTGAAAAGGCTAACAAAAGTTACATCTTAAACAGTATAAATTATTTGAAGGAATGTCTGAAATTCAGGCCAAGTATTGGACAACTATAGCTTGTGATAGTCGGAAAGCTGGTGCTCCTAGCTTACTAAATAATATAATTAAAAGAATCCTCCGACAACTTCAAAAGAACGAACTGAGAGACCGATAAAGGCCTGTTAGCGTTTTTTTTTTTTGTCATGTGAAAGGCTGTAAACCCTTTTCATTTTATTTGTAGATATTTCGTGCCCTTTGCTTTCCGTGTCTAACGCCGATCCTCCGAGTGGTATGTGCTCCAGTGCTGATTTAAGCTACCAGACCTACTGTTCCTTCAAATGCAGGGCTGGGTACCAGCTGAAAGGCTCTGAAGTGATTGTCTGTCAACTCGACAAGACATGGTCTGGAACTCTACCGACTTGTGTGGTAAGCGACATGTACATTATGGGAAACTGCCCACCTACCCCTCCCCTAAGCTAACATTAACACTTATTTCTCACTTAGGGCAAAATGATGGCTTTGGGGAGGGGTAGGTGGGCAATTTCCCTGAAACCTAAATTGATCCGAAATTTCATTAGATAGCCCCAGTGCGAAGGCTCTAGACCCTTAAACCTATGTACTTTAGCTGCACAACTAATTTACATAACTATAACAGACGAACATTTGTTACTGCCTGCTTTTGTTTCACATTTTTCAATCAACGCGTTTTTAAAAAAGAAATCCATTTTTTAGCACTACTGAAATGAAATAAACCGGAGACGTTTTAAAGCTGTTCAAAACACTCACAGCATGTGTTTTATCACTTCAAACCGGCGACGCTGCATTCGACTGAGATTTGATGTAGAAAGCACTGAGCTCAGGAGGTCAATGACCAAATTTATAGAACAAATTAGTAAGTTTTTGCTCTGGAATGAAGACGAAAACAAGACAGACTAATGCTTTTGAACGAAGAACTTTCGTCAATGACACAGGTCGGCACAATGTAATTCAATGTATAAAGCAAAGTCTAAAAAGGCAGATAGCGTTTTGAAGTACAGAGGAATCTCTATTCAAGGGACACCGGCCCTAGGGACCAAGGACGCAAGTGCCTTCTGAATAGAGGTGAGTCGACGCTCTGGACTCTTTGACAACCCGTGAAATCAGTTTAACTCGAGGTTGTCGTAACCTCAGTGCTTTAAGGTGTTTCGATACAGTTTTTCAGAGGCAATACCGATATTTTTCAATCGCCTTAAAAGTGGTTTTGTCCTTTTCCAATCGCTATAACATTTTCACCAGTAATTGGCTATGGATTGAAATTTGTGAAAATTTAGTTTTAAGGAAAATCGATATTACTATGACAACAATAAACAAACAACTTTGAAACTGATAAAAGCCGAATTTTGTGTGATCTAGACCTGCTACTGAAAATCCAACACCAGGAACTTAAAGTTTGGTGTTTAGCAAACAATCTCCGTAAGAAGCAAAAAATTCTGTATGTTTGAATTCGACTAAAATGAAAATATATTTCAAACCTTAAATTTTCAATAGCCGTGATAGATTATTCAATAAAAACGTTATAAATGACTCAAATTATTCTTAAAGAGCGTCAGAATGCTGCTTAATATCATATTTTGATGCTAAGAAATTTGGTTTACTTTCGTTCTTGCGATCTTGAAAACTAACCCTTTTTCTCGCCACCTGTCTAAGTGCAACTTCATTCAAAATTTGGACTTTTAGCGCTTTTATTGTATATCTCTGAAACGACTCGAACGAATTTTTTAAAAATCACGTCACATCATCGTCATCATCATTATAATCATCAAATATTTCATTCGCCTTATAAGCAAGAAACGTAGCGCGTTTTTTTCATAAGACACCACAACGCTAATAAAAAATACCACCTAGAGTTTTATATATGTTGCTGTGTATGTGTGGCTTGACCAGTTCAAGATTATTTAAGCAAAAATTCAAGATTCGTTTTCTGAAGGGGAAGGTTGTAGTGTCCGCTTAATATAGAGTGTCCGCCTAATACAGGTTTCGATAGATATTAAATGCCATATGAGGAGTCAAATGCCATTCCAATGAACAGTGGAAACGTTTAGAATACTCCCAGAGACT